ATGTCGCGGCGGCCGGTACGTCAGGCAAGTGCGCTCGGACTGACAAATTCGAAGTTTAATGCTTTGTTTACGGTGTAACGAAAAAATAATCCCCCCAGCGAGACGGTTGCGCATCGTGGAAAATTACGAGGCCATCAGATCCAAAGATATAAATAGAAACGCGCCTAGTAAATACAATATCGCTTGTGTCCGGCGCGTTTCGTGCTTCGAATTTCCCGTATCTTAAACTCTCACTCGTTTTTTCGGCTCGACTTCCGCGACGAATTCTATTTATAACGCAACAGTACCTCATGGTGTATCAGTTTCTTGCTTGAAAAGGTTTCCACCTTGTTCGGACCGTTCAACATCGCACGAATAAAACGCGACGGGGTACGTAGAAACACGAGAGACGCAAGGAACATTGAAATCAAGCCAATTTTTAACGAAGTCGTTTAATTACTATGCGCAACTTTCTGTTTCGTGAGAGGCTCGCGAGGCTCGTGATAATCGTTGAAATTCACGTTGCGCCCGTTTTTTTCCACAATTATGCTGCGAACGCATAAAATCCTCCGAGTCTATTTATTACATGCAAATAAAACACGCGTTCCCGGCTCGGTACACGGCTTTTAACGGGCACGCAGTTGGCCACTAATAAAACTCCTGTATTGTAAACAGTTACGAGCGGTCACTGCACTAAGCTGTTTGTCTTAATGTTACCAAAAATCGACGTTGCGTACCGCCGACCGGGACGCCGCACGGAGTGAATAAAACCGGGATAAGGAGGAAGAAGAGGGTGGGGACGCATTTGCATCGACCGCAAAAGGAAACTATAAAAAGAGACGAGTCTCGGGGCAAAAGCAAGTTCCTGAGTATTGTCGCATGAACGATGTTATCCGGCGGGATTTCAACCGGCAAGACATCACGAGGAGAAGAAAAGGAGAAAAAAATCGAAGAGAAAAAGAGAAAAGATAAAAGGAAAGGGAAAAAGGAGGATGGTCGAGAAGAAGAAGCGGGACAAGGAACTAACCGGCGGTATGGTTGGCCCAGCCCGGCGTGGCCTGGCGTGGCGTGGCGTGGCGCACGGATCGTCTGTCTCTCTCGTCTCGTGGCTCGACGAAGTAATTAGCCTTTAATTAATAGACTTCGCCCCGGGGACCCTTGCGGAGTGGAGGTCAGGATCTTAATTATCGTGAGGCTGGAAACGTTACCCGCGGTCGACACGTTTAATACGAGCGTGTCGCGAACAGACCCCACCACGGCCACCAACTCGATTCGGACGGGACGATGATAAAGCCGCGGCGGCAATAAACGTCGTTCAACCGTTAAACTCGCCGAATCTAGAGCTCCCTATTTCCCTCTCGTTTGCATTTTCAAATTGAACCGAGCTTTACGTCCGCGTCAGGATTTTATACAGCTCCTGTGCGGTGTCCGCGCGCGAGCGCCCGGTGATCGAAATTCCGCCAGCCGGATCACCGTTAGAAATTTATGCTCTCGAGGATGTTCGGAACGCCGTCGATGATAAATACAGAGAGTCTGACGTTGATCGACCCCCTGCGAGGGAAAGAAATACAATGGAGTAATTAATAAGGGGATGAAAGTGACTTCGATAATGGAACGATCGATTCTGTGGCGTCAATGTCATTTATCGAGACAGGAGTTGGGAAGAGCAGTTCGTTAGAGAAAAAATTGTTTGGATGCAATTATCGCGAATAGATGATATGTCCATAATTTTAGATGGATTTGAGATTTCATTACTACTAAAACTACCGTACTAGTCAAAGTGACTGGTTTCGGTTTTTCTGTTTCTCAAGTATTGATATCTTGAAGGCAGTAAATATTCGAAATGATGTTGAAAATAAATAATTTCACTTGATCACTATATTGAATGTCTGAAGAAACTAAAAATAATCTATTGTTACAATGTTTATAGGGAAACATATCAGTCGTATTAAACGCTCGGTAGTTCTAGAATTAAATTCGATTTTTGTGAACTAGATTCAGAGTGCAGATAGATCACAAAAAATGTAATGCCGATCTAGCAAAATATTACTGCCATGAAGGCAGCAATAATTCAGACGATCTCGTGCTGCTGGTAGCGCGCGTGATTCATTTGAAGTATAA